TTAATGTACATTTCTGATTACTGTTATGCGCATATCAAGAGTTAAGCGTGTTGATATAAACAGCTAATTTTCTCCAGTCTGCTGCTATTATAGATTGTAAATGGACTGCATTTACATAGCATTTTTCTAGTTTACCGACAACTCAAAGCACTTTACAATGCATGTGTTCACACACTGATGGAAAAGACTGCTATACAAGGTGCCAACCTGCTCATCGGGAGCGGTTATGGGTCCAGTGTTTTGCTGGATTTCCAATTCGACACTCTCTCTGAAGGAGCCGGGGAGCCAAACTAGGCCCCAATATTATACTATTGCAGAAGAAGGCACAATGAGATGACATAATTAGATGGCATTTATGTTTGTTTCATGTATTAAATTCAGTAATGTTACAGTTTTCTCATCAAATAATCTAAAAAATGTTCATGCTCAATTGTTAGTTGCAGCCCTAACAAGAAAATTAAGATGTGCTCCACCAACCATGTCATCACTTTAACAAAAAGTTATTTTTAATATAAAAGAGATAAATAAATTTTTCTTCAGGCCCCTGACTTGGATCTGCTGGGTTTGTTTTGGTACTAAGCTTCTGAGAGATCTCCAATCCATTGTAAAACACAACATTATTGACAGATACTGTCCTGTTTAAGATGTAGGAATGAAATTGGGCTTCTTTTCTCAGAGTAAACTGATACGAAGAACTTTGGGAGCATCTGAAGACATTAAAAAACATGCAGAGACACAGAGGATTTGTTGTTCTTTTTGCAAATAATAAAAACATGAAAAAACATTTTTCAGGCAGATGAGGCACCAGAACAGACAGCGGTGTGGCCCTGGGGGCCTGTTATATAAACATGGCCTCTAGATAAATAGCCCCCCTCTGAAGTGAATAGGATATTGGATTTCAAGGTTGTTATTACTTCACCTTATTATTTCTGTTCAAGAAATACCATTCATAAGCCAATTCAAAGTTTGGAGAGGAAGAAAATAAACAAATGTCCCACTCAAGCAAAGGAGGAGAGAGCTTTGAACTTCAAAATTACTTTCTATTAATCAATTGACCAATTTATAGCCTTGTATATAAAATGTTTGCAAATAATGAAAAATGTCCATCAGATCTGCTTGTTCTGTCTTTCCAACAAATACATAGCTGCTGCAAGGATTATGAATTCGCAACTATTTTGATAATACGTGGGTTCCAGCTTCTCAAAAAAGAGAATTTGATGCTTTTCTTGGTAATACATGATTTTGGACTGTTCGGATAAAACAAGTCATCTGAAAACGTAACTTTGGACTGTGGGAAATTCTAACGAGTACTTTGCACTATTGTCTGACATTTTATAGACAAAACAAAAGTATTGATTAAATGAGAAAAATATCCTGAAGATTAATCAAACCAAACCAAACAAAAAGAGCAGTCTTCTCTGTGGGAGATGCAAACTCCCTTTGGGGTGGACTTTTCACTTTGCAAACCTATTACATTCACAAAAAAAGATAAAGGAACAATAAAGGAAATGGGAAAAGCCAAAAAGCATAATCTGACCTCTTTAAGCTTGTTGATAGAGGGAAGGTGTCATGTTACTGAGGTCACGAATAAAAGGACATTCCTTGATATCAAAGTGGAATAACAGGATGGACACTACAAGAACACGTAGTGCAGTACAAAGTCGTATCACACGCTCATCAGCTGTGGCTGGTCTACTTTTAAAGCATCAAGGCTGAATTTGAATACGTTTTTGGGAAAATACAGAGCTACAGCTTTCCAGCCAAACACAACTTTACATCTGACACACCAACAACTGCCTGCTAACAGCTTGATAACCACTTAAATTATTGAATATGTTTGAGTTACATGTTAGTGTTGAATAAATGAAAGGTTTAATATAAAAGAGAAAATCTTAAAACCAGAAATTCAAAAGCACAGTAATTGCCAGTTATGTGTATTTTTCTCCGTTCCGTTGACTCCGTTCAGGATTACTTTTAGAGTGGCATCAAAAATAAACACACACACACACACACACACACACACACACACACACACACACACACACACAATCTGAGTCACACATTACCGCAAAACATGCCAGCATATCAGGACTGATTCCCATGAATTTTAATTAACGTCTTACACACAAGATATTTTTCATTAAACCTGAATTCCGACAGCAGTTACTCATAATTTAAAACAGCTTTCACCTGAAGAAAAAAAACACTGTTTGTACTGAAGCAATTACCATCAACAGCAACATAAATTACCTTTGCCCTCTGTTATCTGCAATGACACTTTAATCTCTGCCAGCTCAATAGCTCATCACAGAGAAGTCATAACACACTAAATCTGCCTGAGGGTCGATTATTGACCACCTGAATCAACAAATCTAAAATGTTAATCCTCTATCTTACAGAAGATTGAGAAGAAGTGCTGTCTGTATATAATTATTCAACAATCAGAGAAATCTGTTATCCATCAGGGAGTCTAACAAACAAACCCACACACTGAAAAAACATGAATGCCAACTGTGTATGTCGTCGCAAGGCGGAGTCCGAATTTGTACTGAAAATATATTCCAAGAGGATCTCTGTGTTACCGTAATGCTGTGAAACATTTCAGGGCTTTTCCCACCTTGAAGTTTAAAAAAAACAATCCAGCCAAAAACATTTAAATACGGTTGATAGTATACCTTCATACTGTCAGAGGTGCGACAAAGTCATTGTTTTGCAAGTCACATGTAAGTCGAAAGTTTTGGCTATGAAGTCCAGAGTCAAGTCCTAAACCTTGTTTTTCAAGTATTTTATTTGTCTGTCTGCTGCTCTGCTCAACATTTTATGCCAACATTAGTACGGGAAGCATGCTCAAGAACAGCAATACCATGACAAATAAAGTTCAGTCAACATCTTTCTACAACAGTTTCAGCAAAGACGGATTACAAGCTGAACCTACAGAGCTGCAAGGCTGTAGCTTCCGTTGAGATCCTCCATGTTTTTGGGGGGATTTGACTATTCTACGTCAAGATATACGAATGAAGGCACGAATAAATACAACAATTATACAATTAACATAATTAATCTCAGGCATAGTAGAAAGCAATCTTCGCCATCATGTACCTCTGGCACATACAATTGTTTTAGAATATTTAGAATTATTTTAAACATGGAAAATATCAAATTTTAGAGAAAACTTTTCAGGTCTCAGGTCAAAATTATCTGGTGGCAGAAGTGATTTTTCTTATGACTTCACTATTTCTCTCCATGCACCCTTTCTATCCAATAAACCATCCGGGCCTATACCTTGGCCGTTATTAGCTTATAGCAGATACACTATATAAGTATGGCATACACTCACTGGCCACTTTATTAGGTACACCTTGCTAGTGCTGGACCCTCTTTTGCCTTGAGAACTGCCTTTATTCTTCATGGCAAACTTTCAACAAGGTGTTGGACACATTCCTCAGAGACTTTGGTCCATAATGACATGACAGCATCACGCAGCTGCTGCAGATTTGTCGGCTGCACATCCATTATGCCAATCTCCCGTTCCACTACATCCCAAAGGTACTGTATTTGATTGAGATCTGGTGACTGTGGAGGCCATTGGAGTACAGTGATCTCATTGTCATGTTAAAAAAAACAGTTAGAGATGATTTGACCTTTGTGACAGTTTGCATTATCCTGCTGGAAGTAGCCATCAGAAGATTAGTACACTCTAGTCATAAAGGGATGGACATGGTCAGCAACAATCCTCAGGTAGGCTGTAGCATTTAAACGATGCTCACTTGGTACTAAGGGGTCCAAAGTGTGAAAAGAAAATATCCCCCACACAATTACACCACCAGCACCATCCTTAACCGTTGATACAAGGCAGGATCCATGCTTTCATGTTGTTTACGTCAAATTCTGACCCTAACATCTGAATGTCGCAGCTGAAATCGAGACTCATCAGACCAGGCAACATTATTCCAATCTTCTGCTGTCCAATTTTGTTGAGCCTGTGCGAATTGTAGCCTAAGTTTTCTGTTCGTAGCTGACAGGAGTGGCACCCGGCTTGGTCTTCTGCTGCTGTAGCCCATCTGCATAAAGGTTCGACGTGTTGTGCGTTCAGAGATTGTATTCTGCATACCTTGATTGTAACGAATGGTTATCTGAGTTACTGTTGCCTTTCTGTCATCTCAAACCAGTCTGCCCATTCTCCTCTGACCTCTGACATCGACAAGGCATTTTCGTCCACACAACTGCCGCTCACTGGATATTTTCTCTTTTTCGGACCATTCTCTGTAAACCCTAGAGATGGTTGTGCGTGAAAATCACAGTAGATCAGCAGTTTCTGAAAAACTCAGACCTGCCCGTCTGGCACCAACAACCATGCCACATTCAAAGTCACTTAAATCCCCTTTCTTCCCCATTCTGATGCTCGATTTGAACTTCAGCAAGTTGTCTTGACCACGTCTACATGCCTTAATATACATTGAGTTGCTGAGCTATTGGTGTTAACAAGCAATTAAAAAATTTAAAAAATTTATTATTTGATTTTAGTAACTCTTAAATATTAATAATGTTATCAGTCTCGACTAAGGATCTACGGCTGAACGTAAAACATTTTTCAGAATAGTTCTGGGATATGGAGAAAATCATTGGCTAAAGTACAAAGCAAGTTAATGCAAATTGACATCTCAGTGTCACAAAGAAACTTCTACATGTATAAGCTCAATGAGCCCCGAAACAGTTTCAATCAATGTAACTGTAAGAAAAACAGGTCTTAATGCCAAAAGGCAGAACATAAGAAACAGCTGATATCTCATAGTACAGATGAAAGCAGTGGGGTCATTACAGGGTCAGCAGGTTAGTCCCAGTCACACCCCATTTAAATCCACACTGTCCCTGCGGTAATTACCGCTGATAGTAGCGGGGAATTAGAGGCAGGAGCCATATTAAGCTGCAGGTAACTGTAAACAATGCGCAGGTGACCTTAGCAATAATGGGGACAGCACAGGTAGATTTAAGGTACTTACTTTATGAAGTAACTGGCGCCTTCGTCCGTAAAACCTTCCTCCCATCCCCGAGGTAGGTCTGAAATAAAACAACACACTTGTCCGTGACACCTGAAAGTTTTCTCCCTTCGGGCTGGGCCCAAAATGTACGCTGAAGTTGGCAGCGAAGGCAAACACAGTAAAGTAAACATAAGGGCGAAATGAACACTGGTCAAACAGCCCTGCAGGATTAGCTTAGCTTGCTACCTGAACGGATCATGTGTCCGGAGTTTACAGGTTCACCGGAGCGGGGATGGAGCCAGGTAGTAGTCCGCGTTTCATCGCTGCCGCACAGACGGAGAGAGGAGGAAAAACACCTGTTACACCACCAGGAAAGAAACACCAACAGACCCCGCTAACTCCCGTTAAACCGGGAGAGACTGTGCGATAAAGCGCTCATTATGCCACTCACTTGATGAAGAAAACCCTGCCGTCCCCGCAGACACCGTAAGACCAGTGTTCAGGTAGGGTGTCCCGCCTGAGAGGCGCCGCCATGATCCGGTCTGAAGTCCTATTTCATCTCATTCCCTCTCCATGAAGTCTCCCGGGAGCTCAATGATCACCGCTAGGGCCAGCGCTGCCTTCAGGGACTCCTCTGAAGCCCGTACATCCGAGCACAACGAGCTGAACACGTTCTGACTCTGTAACAACAGACACTGGTAGAGAAGGAATATTTAAGTTTATTTACAGTTTAATACAGTATTTAATTTAAAATGGTATTTTGACACATATGACCTTTAACAAATATTGCGCCTCCTGCAAATTGAAAATCGCAGATAGGTCATATTGCGATTTTTATGAAATTTTGATTAATTTGAACAATTAATCAGCCCTGCTCCAATAATATAAAGTTTGATTAATGGCTCGTCAGTCATTTCTTACAGTGGTGGCGTCCTGCCAGGGCGGATTTAGACTTAAAGAGTATTTCTAAAATCCAGCTAAACTTCAATAGGAGGCAATTAAATTTAGTAATACATGCTGGCCATGTAGTTGCACTTCCCCGATTTAAGTCAGCCAAGGATATTTGTTGCATGTCATCCTCCATCTCCTGTCAGTTAAAATGGCAATCTTTTTAAGTGGTGTATGGACACACAAACATTTGTAATAGGTGAGATAAGACTGGCAACAAAATCAGATTCACCTTCTGTGCACATGGAGCAGTAATTTGTTGATATGCCCATGTCTGGTGGCAAGCATGGGGAGGACTGCAACTCAAGTTTGTCATGAATCATAGGGTTGGTGGTTTAATTGCCTGCTCTTCTTGTGTCTTCATGTTGTATCCTTGAACCACAAATGTTCCAGAAATGTGTACGCTTAGGAAATATGTAAGTAGATTTGGACAAAAAGCATCAACCAAATTAATTTAATGTAAAAACTGACTCATGACATTAAGACATTTTCTGAGGACAAGTGGAATAGTTGCTGACAACTGGCATGATGAGCTCACTGTTAAAGCTGATCACTTGTTTAAGACCAAATGAGTTAATAGAAAACTTTTTCTTTGCTCATCTGATGTAAAATGTTTTTTCATGACAAAATTTGCTCACTCTTTCATCACTTGATCAAAAACTCAAAAGTCAGTGTTCACACCTGCACTGACAGTTTTGCGATTTGCTCAAGTTCAAATTCAGTCACTTTTCATATGGTTATCTTTGTACAACTGCATCTCAAATTCCATTTAGCCTTGTTTTTACACACTGGATAAATATAATGCATGTCTTTATCCAGTCACTATTTGCCAACACTGGGAAGTTTAGGCTACAGTAACTGGTGACTTGGTGCATAATAATAAACATAAACCTATATAAATATAAAAATATGAAGGATCAGATATACAAATAATAAAATGTAATAGGTACACATAGTTGACAAATTGCTTGAAGGGTTTTATAATTATTTATCAGTGAAACATAGGAACACATTTTATTCAAATTCACTACCTTATGATCACATCTCTTCAACTGGGATATCAGTTGAGACTCACACTTTATGGGTTATTAATGTGAGTCATTGATAGTAACGACATTTTCGTCTGTACTTAAATGCATCACAACAGCCTGCTTCCACAGTGAGAAAAGAGGAGGGGAAGAGCAGCTCTCCCACTGTTTTTCCCGGCAGTAATTGGGGAGAGTGAAAGAAGCATGTGCTGATTTTGGGCTCTTCAAAATACAGTAGGTGCCACCTTAGTGTGTAGGTGATTTAACTGGGAAGGGGCTGATTATAAGATTAAAGACTCCCTTTAACCAATTAGAAATCTCAGTGAGAAAACCTCTGATTTTTAATTACTCTACACACACGTTAATTCTCATCCTAATCGACTTGAATATTGATGGGACACTTTATTTAGTTGCAGCATTATTACTATGACACAAAATGAGACCCAGAGTAATGGGTCTCATTCAGAACAGTCTTTGTTTTACAGCACTCACTATATTATATTATATTCTTATGCTTACATGTTTATGAAAGCCCAACTGATAGTGGATGTTTGAGGCCAATACTGATATCAGTATTTAAGAGTTAATGTATCAGCCAATATTCCTTTTTTAACACATAAGAATTTTTGAAAATGATCCCAAAAATTTGGATATTGAAGCTGCATGTAATGATCATTTACAGTTGAACAATGAATTTTATTGTCATGATGACGGTAATTGATGGTAAGGGGGTGTCCCTGATGTTCTTACAGTTATGATTAAGTTTACTTTATAAGCAGTTGTTGAATTGTCTGTGAAGGTTCTCACTCATCCAGGTCATAGTTATCCAAAGAAGGTTAAAGTCAAGGGCAACTGGACTTGGTTGAAGATACGTTTCGTCTCTCATCCGAGAAACTTCTTCAGTTCTGAGGAACTAAATTCAGTCGAGTTCCTTGACAGATCTGCTCCATTGAAACCCCAGTAAATATTTATTCATGATTCATTTATCATTAGAAACTCACAACTCCATGTTATGTGATTAATTCTACTTGCCTGTAGACAAATATGCCATCTTTGCATGTTCTGTTGGCCTGCTGTACACTGACTATGGGGAATTAATTGGAAATGTACCAATTTAACACTGTCTCCCCAGTAGTGTCCCTATAATTAGTTCCAAATCAAATAATTATTTCCTGGTAGCTTCCTGGAAAATTAACAGCAAATTACAGACCTGCAAAATAAAGCATTACCAAAACACACAGGTACTGCACTTTCTATCCTTTAACACATACCTCAATACGAATATGTCTCAGCCAGTAAATCAATATAATGATAATGATATGATAATATCGGCCTGCTGGTATGTCAGTCAGGCTCAAATGTTTACATGCAGCAAACATGCTACAGTTGGTTTTCCCCAGTGGCTCATTAAGGTAAAGAAGAGCCTTGACTGATGGACACACTTTGTTTGTCTTTGTTTGTGAGTAGCTCATCCGTAACTCTGAGCTCATTGGAATTTAATTTTCCAAAGTGACTCCATGTCCAGGAGACATGTAGTGGCATGCTTATGACAACATCCTGACACATTTTCCACGCAGCCCTGTTATTTTGAAGTCTACACTTCCACAAAAACAGTCTACCTGAGTCGTTGTTAAGTTCACAGTCGGCAGGAATTTCCTCGCCAAAAACAGTCATTTCCAAAAGGGTGTAACACAGAATATGTTGATATTAATCTTGCTGTTCTTCATTTATGACTCCCTGGAGCTTTTAATAGAAAGATACACAAGTATGCATTTTTGCCATCCATTTTCTAACACTGAAGAATGTTGAACTTTCCGTGGCTTTTTTTAATGATCTCCTTGTTATGTAATGATTTGTAATTTCTCAGTTTCATCTAAACTCCCGTTTCCTGCAGGCAGGGCTGCCAGATTTCCCGACAACCTTGTCTTCAGGCTTAAATTGAGCATTTACCCAAAATACTCTGACTTTACCAGAAGTGAGCATATTTTTCACATCTGGTGACTTTTGTATGCATGTGTTTGAGTTCCTTTCCCCCCTTGTTTGGTTTCAGTTGGCAGCACTTAGTTTGGAGGAACCTCAACGTCAACAAAAGAAAGTCCTGACAAGGCAGAGGGAGCTTAAGGGCAGGTAGAGGTCGGCACACACAGCCTCACCACTGAAAGCCCAGGAGATTTTCCTACTATTTGTAGTGTATTTGTGTGAAAAGATAAAGTGCTCACATAGTAGAAAGAACAATGAAGACTTTTCCAGCCAACTTATGATAACACTGACTAACACACATCAGTAAATCAAAGCTAATATTACTGAAATGAGTCTGATGTTCACGTGCCTGCTGTCCTAATGCTGAACTTAGCTATTATGTGCCTAGTATAACATCTTGCCAATGGACTACAGTTGAAAATTAGCCTGCTGGCTAACACTGGCACATTTACAGAAATGTTGATTAATGTGCACTGTCCTTAAATAAATAAATGAAATGAAATGAAACTTACACACATGCTGCAGGTTTGCAAACCAAAACACTTAAACTTAAACTCACGCACAAAAATGTGTAATTTTTATATTTAGAAGCACACACTGTGATCTAAATTTAAGGAGTAACTCAGACTGAAAAGCTGTTGCCCTCCCTGGTTGAAGGTTTCAAGCCACTTTAACCCCTGACCACCCCCAGCATCACAGCTGGAGTACACCTGAGGCCTGCACTACAAAGCAGGACTTAAGGTTAGTAATGTAACGTCAGGTTTAACTCTTAGTTTTTAGAGTTACAGTGGTGGTTTACTTCACCTTAGGTCACCCAAGACAAGATTTTCAGGCGGTGTTAATTTACTCTTTAAACACCAACATTTTTACACATGACCTGAACATGCTATGACTCTAAATTGATAGACAGGTATTAAAATTTTGTGTATTTCCTATGAACAGTTATTCTTTTAAATTATTTTAAATTATTTCTGTTGATAGTGTGAAAAACAACACAAAAGATCTAAATATATACGGTCAGAAAATACTAGATTGGGCTTTTAAGCATAACTAAAAGACAAAAAAGGCATTAACTGCTGCATTAATTGATCTTTCCTGTGGTCCCTTGGGGGCAATGGAAACAAGCTGTAAACATGTACATGTTATCACTATATAGAGTTATTAAGTTACAGCGAACAAGTTAGAAAATAGTTGACAATTTACACATCCAGCAGACACAGAGCAGAATTATCACCCCATTAGAGTCTTGTTTGTGTCCACCTAAGTCAAAAACTTTACTTTAAGCTCTGTTAAGCACCCTGAGAGAAATATCTGGCTGTTTAGCTGCTCCGTCGCTAGATGTGTCTGCTGCTCGGTGCTGGACATGTAGCATACAGTGGGTTAATCAGATTTTTTCTGAAACAAGCTGCCGTGCACCAAAATAATAAAATTGTGGACTGGAAAACCAAAAAATGAGCTGAAAGACGTTAAAATGCTGAGGAGAACTGCAGAGTTGGGTAATAAATCTCAGTGGGTTCGTCACTGTAAGCGACATCTTCCACATAGACATACTAATTTCATCCATTGTTAATGTAAAATGTTAATTAGTGCAGCTTTAAAGTATGTGTGAGTCTAAATGCAGGAGCATGAGTATGCACACTGTTGATAAATCAAACAGAATTTGGA